TATACGTCTGGATTCAATAGACATTTCTCCTCGTGGAAAGGCTATTGGTCGCATTAACACAGGATCAAAGTCAGGTCTCAGATCTTTATATGTGTCTACAAAATCATCCACCATGAATTTAATTTCTTCTGGAAATTCATTATTGCCGAACTCATGATGCATCAAAATCTGCTTAGACCTAGACGATAACAAATTTACAAATGGGTTTTCATTTCCGGAGAGATCAATAATACTAGATGCTAAAGGAACTTCTAGTTTAATTGTTACTGGATCTAAGCATTCCAAATGATGAACAATTTCGGTATATGCGACCATAGTAGCTTCTGAGCAACTATTTCCTAGCTTAACTCTCTATAGATAATATTTCCCAATTAACAATAAACACACCAGAAATCAAAATTATGATATTTACTTACACATCCGCTTAATATAAATTCTATATTCTCTTGAATTATATTAACGTTACGTTTCTGTTCCATAGCTTGTCGCTATATTAGTAAAAAATGAAAAAAGATAAGCACTTTTCGTTTTGAATAGTATAAGGTACATATATATTTATACTTACTTTCTTCTTTTCTCCCGTCCAAGCTTCTTTATAAAATTTTTGACGTTGTTCCTAAAACAGAAGAAGAAAAATAACTTAATCTAGTATCTTCAAGATAATATAATTATATAATATAATATATGAAATCAGCTATTCCAAAGTTATTTGTTTTTTATAATATAAATGAGATCCATGCCCACGGTCAGCGACGAGGTACACAAGGCATAGCTTGTACCGAACCTAGTGTAAGACCCATACCGGAACGATGAATCCCCTGAACTGCACCCTTCGATGCTTACGGTGCTAGCGTTCTGTAAGCTAAGACATACGCAAAAACTTTATCACATACACCGGATACAGACAGCAACATAGACTTATGTTGTTATTTTTCCATCCCCTTCTGCAAAATTGTTCATCATCTTCCGAAAAAATAGATAACTCATTTTTTATTACATACCTTAGAAGTCGTGTTAAACTGAGATAAGATCTCCACTAGCTTTCGCTTATTTTTTGAATTATTTGTCCCACACGTAGTTATAGCTTCTTCTAGCTCCTGGCGGTATTGAGATTCTGCTATATTAACGTTGTTTCTTCTCAAAGTCTTAACCTTTGATAGATAGACATTTGGCAACCATTCTTTAAAATACAATTCATTGCTTGGTTGGTTGCGATTAAGGTAAAAATAATTTTCAGACATTTTGGAAGCAATAAATGTTAGTTCGATTTTTTAATCACTGTAAAGCGATAAACTTCCATAACTTCATTATACT